GTCACCCAGGCAGGAGTGCAATGGCATATCTCAGCTCACTGCAACCTCCACCTTCTCCTGCCTCAACCTCCTAAGCAGCTGGGACTATAGTTGCGTGCAACCATGCCTGACTAAGTTTTGCATTTTTTGTAGAGATGGGGGATTAACCATGTTGCCCAGGCTGGTCTCGAACTCCTGGGCTCAAACGATCCACCTGCCTCAGCCTCCCAAAGTGCTTAGATTACAGACATGTGCCACCAAGTCCAGCCTCAGTTACTGGCTTATTTCCAATAATTCAACTTTGCAGTAGATGAGAGAAACACATTTCTTTCCTAGTCTGAGTAGAAATGCAAAGATGAATAGTGATAATAATTTTATTTTATAGTTATCCATGCAGCTTTCAAATCACTTCACATGACATTGCATTTTCAGTATATTTTAGAAGGAGCCAAATATTTTCTCAGCCTTTCAGATAGAGTAAAGTTGAGGCAAAGTAAAGTCAAATGATTTGTCCAGGTTTTTTGGTAAGCCAGAGCTTTTTCTACTAGGATGTTGTCATTAAGAGTCAACCTTTGCAAACTCCTTTCAACTTATTTAAATTATAGTTCAGAGATGGAAGGGAGGGAAACAGAGAGAGGAACGGAATGCCATCCAACTTTCAGTGCCACTGAAGACCGTACTTTAAATGTCTTTAGCCGTGCTGCTTGGTAACATTACAGGGCATTTGCAGCAATCCCAAAGATGCTTGGCATTCAAGTCAAATATTACAACAAAAGATACAGAAAAACGCTGAAGAAAAAACTTACATTATACATGTCTGTGGATGTATGCACATCTATATCCATATGAACATCTGCATTAGAATTACCTATGTAACATAAGGAAGACGGAGACTAGAAGTGTAGTCTCTATTTCCTCACAACTAATAAAATGACAGTTGCTTTCAACACAAAGGCAGATTAAAACATGTATAATTACAAACAACCACTTTTATTACATAAGACAATCATGGAAGAGAAAAAATATTCACTATATATAAATATCAAAAAAGTAGTCATCAGTGTCCTAGTTTTAAAGAGCGTATGGAATAAACAAACAAAAAGAGAATGCCATAAAGAAAAAACAACGTTAAGAGTACATAGTGAGTCATGCCTGTAATCCCAGCATTTTGGGAGGCCAAGGCAGAAGGATGACTTAAGCTCAGGAGCTGGAGACCAGCCTTGGCAATGTAGCAAGACTTCATCTCTACTAAAAATCAAATAAGTTAATTGGATGTGCAGGTGCACACCTGTAGTTTCAGCTACATGGGAGGATCACCCTATTTTGCATTCTGCCATAGTTCTTGGAGAATGACACGTATATGATAATTGTTTCAGACATAGTTGGTGCTGTTCATGGTCTACTATCATCTACTATGGGCAAGGCGGGGCTCTGAAGACAGGCCAGCCCATTAATTGGAGCAACACCCAAGGGTAGGTCCAACAAGGAGAACATAGCATGGGACAGAAGTAAATAGTTAGGGATTCTGGCCAAGTAAGTCTCACAGGATGGGTGTTTTAAAATAAAGCAACAAGAGATCCTGGCCCATGAATGGGACATAGAACATGCACTTCAAGAAAAGATTTATTAGTCAGGAGTTTTTCATTGAAAATGACAGAAACTCAACTCAAAATACCTTTTTCACAAAAGGGAATATATTGTTTTGTGTACCAAGAAGTCTGAAAGCTCTAAAGTTTCAGTCACAGCTAGATCCAGTGGCTTACTTAAAGATACTATAATAGAACTATAAGAGTCTCATTCTTCATATCTTGAACCAGCCTATGCTACACTGTAGGCCAAATGGCTTACCACAGCCCCACTTCATATCTTAGCAGCCTATTAACCTCAACAGAATAGGTCTTTTCTGATTGCCCCAGAAGAACCATTCTAGGGAAGACACTTCTTAGTTTGCCTCAAGTCAAGTGCATATTCCTGGACCAGTCACAATTGCCAGGAGCCTCCCCAAAGATGGGGGAATTTTGGCCAGGCCTGGATCCTAATCCCTCCTCTGTTTCATGAGGAGTGACAAAATGCATATGAACCACATGAAATGGATTTCCCAAAGAAAAGAGGAATTACATTACAGAATAAGAAGGAGGGAAAGCCAGGTAGGCCAGAATAATATGTGTCCACTACATAGGCAATAATTTGCAGAAAGACAAACAGGGGTTTAACCCACAGGAAGCCTTTACATGAAAAGCCTTTCACAAATCCATTTGTGAACACAAATAGATTCTTTGTGAGGGATGACCAGAGGTGGTAAAGATACCAGTGGGGAATGGACAGGGTGCCATTATGATATACATTTTTTCCCAGAATATGTATCATTAAAAGTAGCAATTGAATAACAGAAACTAATAGATAAAAATGAATTCTCTACCACCATTTTTTTTTGTCTTCTATGTGAGTGGCAGGTAAAAATTTGCTCCCCTAAAATGGGTTATTAATTTAAAACCAGCTAAATCTAAGTCGTCAGGGAAATGTCAGAGTTGCGGATCTCAGTAAAGTCAGTGAAAATATAGTGTTTAATTGCTAACAAATGAAAATAAAATCCAAACAATTTTCTATTATTGAAAATAATAACCTTTTAGCTGTGGCCCCATTTTAAGTTATAATTATAAGAATTTATTATTGTTTATATTATCTTTAGCTCTATTTTTTACTTTTTGTAATTGACTATTTATATTTCTATTTTTAAATGCTGCCTTTTAGAGTTAATTAAGAGATTTTTTTTTCCAGGGTAGAAGGCAAAGACATTTTTAGTAGAGAAGAAAGAGATGGGGTTTGGGGTTATTGACTGATTGTACTTGCTTTTCTTTGAACTATTCTTTCTATCTAACAAGAAGTGAAATAATAAATGCTGACTACAGCACTAATTATCCATGGCTGGATCCTGGAAGCCAAATCTAAGTTCTCTGAATAATGAGAAACTGCTGAAAATAAATATTAATGATAAAGTATTACTGACTGTGAATTATTGTATTTTGAAACCATTTTGTTTATATTTGACCCTTTTAAGAACACAATGTCCTCAAATTCTTCAGCCTTCTGTGCCACTTTGCTCTCTCTCTCTCTCTCTTTCTCTGTCTCTCTTTGAAACTGAAACATGAATGTTCATAGTAGCACTATTCACAATAGCTAAAAGGTGGAAACAACTTAAATGCCCATCAACTAATGAATGGAGAAACAAAACTTGGTACATTCATACAATGGGATTTTTAAAATTTTCCATTTTTATTTTAGATTCATGGGGTAAATATACAGATTTATTTCAAGGGTATATTGTGTGGTGCTGACACTTCTGTCGTTAAAATCCTAACAACAGTAGTGATAGGGTTTGGCTGTGTCCACACCCAAATCTCATCTTGAATTGTAGTTTCCATACTTTCCATATGTGATGGGAAGGACCTGGTGGGAGGTAACTGAATCATGGAGGTGGAGGTGGTTACTCCTATGCTGCTATTCTCATGATATTAAGTGAGTTCTCATGAGATCTGATGGTTTTATAAGGGGCTTTTTGCTCAGCACTTCTTCCTGCCATTATGTGAAGAAGGATGTGTTTGCTTCCCCTTCCACCATGATTGTAAGTTTCCTGAGGCCTCCCCACCCATGCAGAATTGTGTCAATTAAACCTTTTCCCCTTATAAATTACCCCGTCTTGGGCAGTTCTTTATAGCAGCATGAGAATGGGCTAAGACAGTAAATTGCACTGTGTAGTGGGTCATTGTTGTAAAGATACCAAAAAATGTGGAAGCAACTTCTGAGTTGGTTAACAGACAGAGGTTGGAATAGTTTGGAAGGCTCAGAGGAAGAAAAGAAGATGTGGGAAAGTTTGGAACTTCCTAGACACTTGTTGAATGGCTTTGATCAAAATGCTGATAGTGATATGGACAATGAAGTCCAGGCTGAGGTGGTCTCAGATGGAGATACGGAACTTGTTAGGAACTGGAATAAAACTTGGCTAAGTTTTATCCAAGAGACTGACAGCATTTTGCCCCTGCCCTAGAGATCTGTGGAACTTTGAACTTCAAAGAGATCATTTAGGGTATTTGGCAGAAGAAATTTCTAAGCAGCAAAGCATTCAAGATGTGACTTGTGTGCTGTTAAAAGCATTCAACTTTATGTATTCACAAAGATATTGTTTGGAATGGGAACTTATTTTTAAAAGGGAAGCAGAGCATAAGAGTTTGGAAAATTTGCAGCCTGATGATGTCATAGAAAATAAAAACCCATTTTCTGAGGAGAAATGCAAACTGGCTGAAGAAATCTCATAAAAAACAAGGATCCAGATGTTAATTGCCAAGACAATAGGAAAAATGTCTCCAGGGCATGTCATCGGTCTTCACGGCAGCCCCTCCCATCACAGGCCCAGAGGCCTGGGGGAAAATGGTTTTGTGTCCTGGGTCCAGGGCCTTGCTGTTTTGTGCAGTCTCAGGACCTGGTGTCCTGTGTCCCAGCTGTGGTTAAAAGGGGCCAAGGTACAGCTCAGGTTGTGGCTTCAGAGGGCGCAAGCCCTAAACCTTGGCAGCTTCCACATGGTATCGAGCCTGTAAGTGCACAGAAGTCAGGAATTGAGGGCTGGGCTCGGTGGCTCAAGCCTGTAATCCCAGCACTTTGGGAGGCCAAGGCGGGTGGATCATGAGGTCAAGAGATCGAGACCATCCTGGTCAACATGGTGAAACCCCGTCTCCACTAAAAATACAAAAAAAAAATTAGCTGGGCATGGTGGCGCGTGCCTGTAATCCCAGCTACTCAGGAGGCTAAGGCAGGAGAATTGCCTGAACCCAGGAGGCCGAGGTTGCGGTGAGCCGAGATCGCGCCATTGCACTGCAGCCTGGGTAACATGAGTGAAACTCTCCCCCAAAAAAAAAAAAAAAAAAAAAAAAAAAGAATTGAGGTTTGGGAACCTCTGCCTAGATTTCTGAGGATGTATGTAAATGCTCTAATGTCCAGGCAGAAGTCTGCTACAGGGGCAGCGTGCCCATGGAGAGCCTCTGCTGGGGCAATGTGGAAGGGAAATGTGGAGTTAAAGGCCCCACACAGAGTCCCAACTGGGGCACTGCCTAGTTGGGCAGTGAGAAGAGGGCCACTGTTCTCCAGACCCCAGAACTGTAGATCCAGCAGCTTGCACCATGAGCCTGGAAAAGCTTCACACACTCAATCCCAGCCCATGAAGGTGGCCAGGAGGGGGGCTGTGCCCTGTAAAGCCACAGGTATGGGGATGCTCAAAGCTGTGGGAGCTCACCTCTTTAATCAGCATGAACTAGAGATGAGACATGGAATCAAAAGACATCATTTTGGATCTTTAAGATTTAATACTTTAATATTTAATACTGCCACACTGTATTTTGGACTTGCATGGGGTCTGTAGCCCCTTTGTTTGGACAATTTTTCCCATTTGGAATTGCTATATTTATCCAATGCCTGTTCCCCCATTGTATCTAGGAAGTAAGTAACTTGCTTTTAATTTTATAGGCTCATATGCACAAGGGACTTGCCTTGTCTCAGATAAGACTTTGGACTTAGACTTTTGGGTTAATCTTGGAATGAGTTAAGACTTTGGGGGACTGTTGGGAAGGCATGACTCTGTTTTGAAATGTGAGGACTTGAGATTTGGGAGGGGCTGGGGCAGAATGCTATGGTTTGGCTCTGTCCCCACTCAAATCTCATCTTGAATTGTAGTTCCCATAATCCTCACATGTAATGGTAGAGACCCAGTTGGAGGTAATTGAATCATGGGTCTGGTTGCCCCCATGCTGCTGTTCTTGTGATAGTGAGTTCTTACAAGATCTGATGGTTTTATAAGGGGCCTTTCCCTCTTTGCTTGGCAGTTCTCCTTCCTGCCATCATGTGAACAAGGATATGTTTGCTTTCCCTCCACCATTACTGTAGGTTTCCTGATCCCTCCCCAGCCATGTGGAACTGTGAATCAATTAAATTTCTTTCCTTAATAACATTGCCCATTCTTGGGCCATTCTTTATAGCAGTGTGAGAATGGACTAATACAAGTAGTTCGCATTTTTCTATCCTGTTTTATTTATAGGAAATACTGCCTTATACCACATTTCTCTTTCCAAATATTTCTCTGTTAACATTCAGGAATGTTCTCTTCTTTTACAAATGCTTCCTGCATGTCACTTGGCATCTTTTACTTCAAGCTGCTTCTCTGAACTTCCAAACACATCACTGCTTGCCAGGTTAATAGTACTCCTCCAGGATACTGGAGCACTCCTATGTGTAGGAGCATGTTCATCCAACAATTTTTTAAAGTTTACTGTTTAACAAAACTACCCAAAGGCATAAGAACAGAAAAAGTTATAATGTAGACTACAGAATGGAGGCATGGAAATCCCACAAACCCCCTTTTGCCAGAGAGTGGCCATAATGGTTTCTGACATTCACTTGCCATATCCCTCATCTAGGGCTCAACCAGCACTCTCCTAATTCCATACATGTCATTCTGTTGCAGAGACTAATTTCCCAGTCATAATCATGCCCCTTTGCATTAGACCTTCCTTACTTAGTTAGAATCAGATGCCTAAACCTGAGACATTATGCACAGAATTTAGTACAATATACAGGTACAACTTGTTTTATCATGCTTTGCTTCATTCTACTTTGCAGATATTGTATTTTTTATAAAGTAACAGTTTGTGGCAACCCTGAAACATGCAAGTCTATTGGAACCATTTTGTTCCACAGCATGTGTTCACTTTGTATCTCTGTGTCACATTTTGGTAATTCTCACAATATTTCAGACTTTTCCATTATTATTATATCTACTACTGTGATCTGTGATCAGTGATCTTCTATGTTTATAATTATAATTCTTTGGGGTTGCCATGAACTGCACAGATATATGATTTAATTGATACTTAATAAGTGTTCAGACTGCTCTACTGAGTAGCTCCTCCTCCATCTCTTTCCTTCTCCTAAGCTCTCCCAATTTTCCGAAATACAACAATATTAAAGTCAGGCCAATGAATAATTCTATAATGCCCTCTAAGTGTTCAAGTGACTGGAAGGGAAACACATCTTTCACTTTAAATGATAAGCTAGAAGGATTAAGCTTAGTGCAGAAGGCATGTAGAAAGCTGAGAGACGCTGAAAGCTAGGTCTCTTGTGCCAAACAGTTAGCCAAGTTGTGATTGCCAAGGAAAAGTTCTTGAAGGAAATTAAAAGTGCTACTTCAGTGAACATACAAACGATAAGAAGGCAAAACAGCCTTTATTGCCAATATGAAGAAAGTTAGACTGGCCTGGATCAAACCAGCCACAACATTCCCTTAAGCTTAGGCTTTATGCAGTGCAAGGCCCTAACTTTCTTCCATTACAAGAAAGTTGAGAGAGGCAGGGAACCTGCAGAAGAAAAGTTGGAAGCTTGCAGAGGTTGTTTCATGGAGCTTAAAGAAAGAAGCCATCTCCGTAATAAAAAAGTACAAGGTGAAGCAGCATGTGTTGATGAAGAAGCTATAGGAAGTTATCCAGATAACCTAGCTAAGATCATTAATGAAGGAGGTTACAATAAAGAGCAGATTTTTCAATGTAAACAAAATGACCTTTTACTGAAAGATACTGCCATGTAGGACTTTTAAGACTAAAAAGGAGAAGTAAATGCTTGGGTTCAGAACAATGCAGCTGGTGACTTTAAGGCAAAGCCAATACTCTGTTACCATTCTAAAAATTCTAGGGCCCTTAAAAATTATGCTAACTCTATTTTGCCTGACCTGGCAAATAGAAAAATAAAGCCTGGATGACAAATATGTTTACAGCATAGTTTTAATATTTTAAGCCCTGTATTGAGACCTACTGCTCAGAAAAAATTCCTTTAAAAATATTCCCGTTATTTGACAATGTACATGGTCATCCAAGAGCTCTAATGACAATGTATCAGGAGATTAAGGTTGTTTTCATGCTGCTAACACAATATTCATTTGGTAGCCATGGATCAAGGAGTAATTTTAACTTTCAAGTGTAATTATTTAATAAATGTATTTTGTGAAGCTATAGCTGCAAGAGACAGTGATTCCTCACGGATCTGGGAAAAATCTATTGCAAACCTTCTGGAAATATTTCATCATTCTAGATGCCAGTAGGAACATTTATAATTCATCAGAAGAGTACAAAAATCAACAAGAGTTTTGAAGAGGTTGATTCTGGATGACTTTGAGGGGTTCAAGACTTCAGCAGAATACGTAACTGCAGATGTGGTAGAAATAGCAAGAGAACTAGAATTAGAAGTGGAGCCTGAAGATGTGACTGAATTCTTACAATCTCATGATAAAATTATAACAGATGAGGAGTTGCTACTTATGGATGAACAAACAAAGTAGTTTCTTGAGATGAAATCTACTACTGGTGAAGCCACTGTGAGTATTGTTGAAATGACAAGAAGAGATTTAGAATACTTAATAAAGTAAGTTGATAAAGCAGTGGCAGAGTTTGAGAAGATTGACTCTACTTTTGAAAGAAGTTCTATTATGGGTAAAATGCTATCAAACAACTTCACATTCTACAGAAAAAAATCTTTCATGAAAGGAAGAATTAATTGATTTAGCAAACTTAATTGTTGCCTTATTTTTAGAAATTGCCACAACCACCCCTCTTTAGCAGCCACCAGCCTGATTGGTGAGTAGCCATCAACATTGAGACAATATCCTCCACAAGCTAAAATATTACTATTTACTGAAGGATCAGATGATTATTAGCAGTTTTAGCAATAACATCTTTTTAAAATTAAGGTCTGTATATTAATTCTTCTGATAAGTCTATTCCTCATTTAACAGACCAAAATATAATGTAAACATAACTTAATATGCACTGGAAAACCAAAACTTCATGTGATTTTTTTATTGTGATCTTTGTCATGGTGATCTGGGGCCAAATTCACAATATCTCTGTCTTATGCCTGTATGGAAAAAGCCTCTGTTCTAGAATAGACCTCGCATTTGTGTATCTAAAAGGCTCCCTTAAAGAGTTATCTCAATTCAAACCCCATCACACAATCACATATGACACACACAGAATCTTAATGAAAAGATAAATTCTGCTGTGTCTCAAAGGCAATATGTAAGGTAGTAGTTTGTCCTAAGACACTGTTTAAGAGAAGCCAGCAAATATATTTTAAGTTCATGAATTGCATTTTAGAAATGAAAGTACAAAACTTTGACCTAAGGATGCAAGAGATTGGAATATGATCTCTAATGTTTGTGAATACACCACTGTTAGTGTCTAAGAATGGTACTGACTTTCAAATATGCAAATGCATCACTGTGAATATTAAATGATTGCCATAATTGGACCTGCAATCCACTCTATGTATCATTTCGAAAACTGCCATGATTTGGAATTTTCTGGATCTGACAGTGAAGTACCAGATTTTATGTTTGCAAACTATCAGCATAGTTTGTAATAGTTCCACACTGATGTAATTATGAAAATTGTGTTAGCAATTCTTCCCATTTTGAGAGTTTGAATATCCACATTTTTGAAAGAACAGCACAAGCGAGACACAATGTTGGAAGTTGGCGATAGTCTCCCAGAGAGGGTATACTCTTTAGTCAAGCAAGGTTTCTGCAGCCTTCTACTGACTGTTAGTTAAGAAGCAACAGGTGGAAAGACAACTGATGTGTGGAAGATGATTTATGAGATTAAAAACCTTTATGTCTAACGAAAATGGTGGATGGAAGTTTCATTAGGAAATATAATTATTACTATTTTATATTCAATGTATAATTATTGACTACTTACTATTTGTAAGGTTCTGAATTGTAGAGGACAGAAACAAGAAACTATGCCTGTAGAAACGTAACATGTTACCTACATTGTATACACATGTTTACTCAAGTATGTAGATAAAACTGTTAATGTTAAATGAGATAATATGTAAATCATACAAAAAGGAAAGGTAGAAAATGATTAGGGAGTTCAGAAATCAGCCATACTAGGCAGAGAACAAAGAATTAGGAATAGCAAGGAGAATAATTTGTCTGGAGAAACAAGGTATGTGCAAATGAAAGTTTAAATATAAGATACTCGGAGGCCCTAGAGTATCCCATGAATACTCTTGCACATTGTTTCATAGTAATGAAGTTCTACTAAAAGCTTTTGAGCTAGGCAATGACAAAATCAATGTTGTACTTTAGGAAGTCAGTCTAGTGCTAGAAAGAAGGTAAGGATATGATAAAATAAGAAAATGTAAAAGTCTAGAAAAAATAGGAAATATTTGCAGCTACTTTTTGAAATTGTTATATAAAGATTATTAATGAATTTCACAAGAGCCAAAGAGTTTGACCTTTAAGAGTCCACATTCAATGCTTATGCTGGCTTATGTAAGTTATTAAGCTAAAATCATTTCAGATGTTTCGCAGTGTTTACTAAAGTTTCCTCCTGGCTTTTTTTTTTTTTTTGGTGTGTGCAAATATATTACAGTGCAATAAATGCAGCGAAGTGGGGAAGGGAAAGCTGCCCTTTACCCCTTTGGTTGTGTCCTGTGAAGCTTTAGTGACTGTAGAGAACAGAATAGGATTACCACAGAAGCACAGAGCCAGCTGTGACCGAGCTGTGGCTGGGGATAACCAAGGCATCCGCAAAGGAAGCCTATTTGCTATTACTTCTCTTCTTTCCAGCCATTTTTCATTGTGTACATATTAACTGATCTAGCCTTTGGAGAGTTAAGAGAGTGCCTGGAAGATGGAATTGAAAGCTTCCTCGAGAGAATTCTTGTGGAAAAAACAATGTTGGGCTGAAGAAGGTTTTTCATTATACGGTATTTGGGAAAATACATAGTTAGCATTCATTCTAACTAGAGTAAAAGAGAAATACATTATTATCTGGCAATGAATCTTCCTTATTAATTCCCTCATTTATCTATTAAAGCTTTAATGAGCACCAAGCCCATATTACCATGCTGAAGTCTGGAGAAACTGTCAGGGACTCTAGCTTACGGTACAATCAGCAGTACGGCAGGTTAAGGGCAGTATAGGAGGAGACAAAAGGGGCAGAAGTAATACGTGGAAGGGAGATGTTACTTAATCAAGGAGGGCATCCTACAGAGGCAACAGCTAAGCTGGAGTTTTATAGATGAATAAGAATTTGTCAAGAAGTATGTTTGCCAAGAGGTCATCTCATTCAGAGAGAAACAACATGTGCAAAGACATATGGAAGTGCCAGAGAATGACTAATTAGAAGGCAGAGACTAGATATGACTGGCATAAATCATTGTCGGGAACTCACCCTACAAAGTGTGATTCTTTTTGAAGACCGTTTCATATTGTCAAAATCTGAAATGTGTAAACAACACACTTACAAATAGAATCTGTATTTGTAAGGTTGGCATTCTTTTTTATCTTATACTAAATTTTTATATGATTCACTCAATATTGACACAATAAAGAAAGACAGTTGCTACAACTATCTATCTGGTCTGCCAGGACATGGGGAGGCTGGTTTAGGGTCTGGATGTGAAGTCGGGTTAACTGAAGAGCTTTGGAGTGGAGGACATTTTGTAGTCAAAGTAGCAACATTGGAGAGTGAAGTTCAGATTATAAAATATGCAATGGGAGAAGAGCTAAGAAAGCTTATTTAATTTGCCTTAAGTAAACGAGTTAATTCATGTGAAGTGTTCAGAATGATATTGGGCATATGACACTCAACAAATGTTAGCTACTATTATTATTATTTGTATTTTAAAAGAAAATTAGAGTAGGAAGAAATAAGGGAGAATATAATGTGGAGTTAAGTTTTTCATTAACTCAGCATAAAGATATCCCAACTGATACATCCAACAAACATTTCTCAAACATATCTGCTGTGCTAAGCACAAAGATTGCAGGACACAGGGACAGAGCAGGGATCAAAGCAGACAAAAAGCCCTGCTTTGCTGAGTATGGCTTAGTCTTCTGAGTCTGGAGCCAGGGTTATGTGATGGACTCCCAAATCTGTGAGTACTGCAGTGGGTCTCCTTCCTGTTTCCTCCTGCAAAGCCCACTGAAAAGGGTCCTGGTGAGGATCAAGATGATGGCCAGAAGAGAGAGCACCATCCCTGTGGCTGAGTGCAACACTTAACCGATCTTCTGGTTGCTGTTGTGGATCTCCAGGCCCAGCCCATGCCCTTGTCGTCTACCCTGACTTCTCCCTGTGAGGAGGGGGTGTCTTCTGGAGATACTCTTTTAGTGCCAGGATGCTGCTCCTGCTGCATGGTGGGCTACTGGTGTAGCTGAGCTGAATTTTGAACTGAATGTTAATCAATTATCAGATCAATTATGACTTAGAAGCTTTTGAAGCATTTTTTCTAAGCAATCTAACCTAATCTATCATAGCCAAACTGATACTTTCCAGGAGAAATAAAACAAAAGCCCCCTTCCCCACCACCACCACCAAATTTCCTTTTGTTTAAATTCTAAACAAGATGTAGGAGTAGATACTGTCAATAGGTGTCAATGTCCTGGTCTGAGAACATCTTTATTATTGTTTAAACTATATATTATTATTTAAAAATAAAACTTTACTTTGAAAACTAAAAATTTCACATAAATGTCTGTGTAAGTTGTTAAATTGACTATGCAATGATTCTTTCAATTGTCTGCATGACATTAAAACTTGGTGTAACTTGCTCTGCAGAGCCATTCGGCACAGATTTTTGTCAGTCCAAGAACCTTAAAAACCTCTTTTTCATGTATTTTTTTTTTTAGACAGTCTTACTGTGTTACAGGCCAGAGTGCAGTGGTATGATCTCGGCTCACTGCAACCTCTGCCTCCCAGGTTCAAGCGATTCTCCTGCCTTAGCCTCCTGAGTAGCTGGGATTACAGGCCCCCACCACCACACCCGGCTAATTTTTGTATTTTTAGTAGAGGCAGGGTTTCCATGTTGGCCAGGCTGGTCTGGAACTCCTGATCTCGTAATCCACCCACCTCACCCTCCCAAAGTGCTGGGATTACAGGCATGAGCCACAATGCCCAGCCTGTTTCATTTATTTTTATATTTTCACCCACAAAAATGTAGAGACAATTATATCATTGATTCTTAACTATTTCTTAAACCTAGAGATATACTCAAGCTTTCAGGATTGAGACACATTGTTCAAAATTGTGTGGATTGATTGAAACAAATTTGTCTTTTACATGCACACACATACTCATACTCACTCACATGGACTGTCTTCTGCTAATAATGGAATTAGGCTGAATTAAGTCATCCAGTAAAAGAACAGGAAGTTCAGGACAATTGGTCTGTGAGAATTTGGAATAAAAAGTGTTATTTATTTAGAAAATGGATCCAGTAAGTGTAAATTAACCTAAATTATACTCTTTTTAGGGAGTTGAGATAAATAGACTGCTAAGTCAGGAGAATTATATATAATTACTATGAATCACTTTCATTGAAATTTTAACAAAATGTCTCAAGATCTTGCTGAAGAATATCCCCAGAGCAATGCACATTAGATGATAATACAGATAAGAATATTTTAAAAATAGATGAACTATTGTTTCCAAATATATTCTATTAAAATATACCTTAAGGAAACTTCTATTTAGAACACTATCTCAATAACATAGTGACACAAGCTATCTTGTCAAATCAATTAATCAAACAAAACTGGAGGAGAAATGTAGTATAATGAATAGTAGAAACAAGATACCAGAGAAATAATGATTTTTAATAAAAAAATAAATTACGCTGTGGGAAGAACCTGACATAGATGTCTATGTGGGTAAAAAAAAAAAAAGCCAGGAAGTTTTAGTTGACTAGAGAATAATACAAATCCATCATGAATATTAAAGCTATTGCATAGACCTGAGAAAGGCAAAGGAATTTTAATCTTCAGTGGTCATGACACGTCTGGAATTCTATGTTTAGTATTTGAGGTCATATTTAAATAGAGGCATCTGCAAACACTGGCATCTCCAATGGAATTTAGGTGATATGGGGAAGAAAATGAAAACCATGTAACATGAGGAAGCACTGAAGGACTTATGTGTGTTTAGACTGTAAAACACAATGTATTCAAGAGAATTACTAGTTGTATTCAAATATATAGAGCAATGCTAAATAGGTGAGTAATTAATTTTGTATTAGTCAAGAAGACAAATCTAGAATCAATAAGTGAAAATTAGAAAGAGGCATTTGACTCAATGTAAAGAATTTTCGCTCATCAAAATGGCGAGGGGAGAAATCTTAGGCCAAAAAATCCCTTGTCATTATTTCTTGTCATTAGAAAACTTCAACTAGAAATCAAATGATCATGTTTCAAATGCTGTTAAAGGGAGCATTCATTTATTCTGTAACAGTTTGAGACTTGCACTGCCAGTGGATTCTTAGGGATTTTCCAAATATATGTAAATTTTCTAAAATTGTTCAACTAATGTCCTAACCGCAATATTTTTATATATTATTCTTTAGGATAATCTTCCCTTTTACTTAAAAACAAATCCACAGAAAACATGAATGCAAAATGAAAGTCCCTTTGCATCTCTTTTAATAAAAGCAAAGTGATTAATTTTTTAAGTTTGGCAGGCCAAGCAAGTTTACATTGAAATTATATAAAGACAAGTTATTTCCAAATAAAACAACCAGTTTTTTTTTTTCCAGCATGTGCAACATGCCTTGATTTCAGTTATATATATGCAAAAGGTTTTGACTTCTGCTTGGAAACATTTCCTTTTATTTTTTCCTTCCACTTTTTACTTAAAAAAAAAAAAACAAACCTGGATTCTGGATTCTCTAATAAAGTAAGTCTATAGTATATAAGTTGTGATCTAAATTCCTCAATATAGTTGAGCATTAATGTTCTCAACAGAAAAGCTATACCTCAGCTCTTCAAGTGCCTATTTTATCCAAATGTCCTGACCTTCTATTTAGGATGGATACTTGGATCAACTGCAGAAATGACAGGCGAACCTATCACAGCAGCATTGTTTATCTATACCATCAACACTAATACTATGCAGAGAATAGGAATCTCTCTGGAGAAACCCATATACTGACAATTTGACAGTTGGTTTCCCTTCTTCAGAGGGAAGTGGATATTTGTGTTGTATTTTCAAAATTTCAGAAACATTGAAAAATACATATAACTAAATTTTTTAGTATAAAATGGGAAATTTCTTAGCTACTATTGGGATTAGTTATAAATAATAGAATAGTTTGTGTGTGCTTGCTTACTAGATTAAATGCAAACGTTTATTTTGTTTTTGTTTTGGTGTTGGTGTTTTGTTTTACTTTTTCTTTTTGCTAGGTTAAGCTGCAAGATTTCACTTGGCACAGCTCCTAGAATGTAAGGGAAATTTAGAAGCAGTTGAAGTTGCCCTCTTTTCACTTTTGTTGAGATTGACACTGGAGGCATGATAGAATACAAATGTGTGCTACTCTATCTTGTAAGTAAGCACATCCTGTTTACTTAGGCACAATGCACATGTAATTTTGTTGATTTGATTCTTTGCATAAACAATGAGAACAGGAAAGTCAGCACAACAAAGGAGGAAAGAAAAAGCAGTTGTTGACTTGTCCAACTTGAGCACTGTTGAAGTTCAGCAAGCTGTAGTGAGAAGTTATTGAGACAATAGTTGAATTAGAGTCCACATTCCTGGACTTAAACCACAACCCTGACACTCATTAGATTTATGACCTTGGGCAAGCTATTTGTTTTCTCTGAGTTTCAGTTTCCCATTTGTAAAAATGAGGATAAGGATAACCCGTCCTGAAGATTTGTGATGAAATCCTGCCTTTTCTAAACGAACCTGGCACACAAGGACTACTCCAAAAAGACTAGCTGAATCTGAGAACTCATTGTTCTTTTATTCCAAGTTGCCTGGTTTCTGCCATATTTCATTATGGCTTAACTATTTAACGATTAGGTTTTGGCTTAGCTATTTAACAATAATGCTTCAAAGTAGTTCCAACAGAAGATAAAGTGAAAAAAGAAGGATATTGGATGGACTGCAAATTTATTTTTTTTTCTATTTTCTTTTCCTGGAAGTCTTTCTTGAGGATTTGGATGATATATATCCTGTTTGTATTTCTAAGGGGTAGCCTTGACATTGGAAATTGTCTTTCAACAAGTTTTATTAATTGTCAATATTTAAAACTATGGACTTGCACTATTTTGTGGCTATTATATGATGCTTCTGATTCAGATATATTTGGTTGCCCACTATCAGGCTTTTTTTTTTAAACAGTTTTTTTGTTGTTGTTCAGAAAAGAAAAAAATGTATTATCCAGATACAATTTTGAAAAACTTAAAAATGCTTAGCTGATTTTTCAAACTAAATTAAATATTATAATTAAAAACAAAAATAGTTATAAAATCAAAGATGTCTTTCAAATTATAATTTTAATTTGGTCTTAAAATTTCTAGAGCTTATAATATTCTGCTTCCAAGATGATGAACTGATCCCTCTACTTCTCTTTCCTGGTTGAAAATATCTATTTTAATCTTGATTACCTTTTCTCTATTTATATTAATCAATTTTTCAACCACCAGCTGTCCATGTTTGTATTATTTTTTCTTGGAAGGATGCATAAATGCATTCTTTATGAGACCTACATTTCTAAAATTATATTCTTTGGCTCTGGCAAATAAATGAAAAACTGAATTTCTCCAATATATTAGTCAGTGAAAGCTAAGTATCAGGGTGAGGTACTTTTATGTGCATTCCAGTTAATATAGTCTATAAACTAACTCCTCAAATATTCCACCAGAAACAATTGCTTAGGAGGGTGCACAATTTTTTAAAAGTTATTACTATGACAATTTATAAGTAGTTGTCCCTTTGCCCTACTTCTTCCTACTCACAATATTTGTTTCCCTGAGGCAACAATTTGCAACTCTTTTGATGTTTTTCTGGTATTCTCAAAACTGTAAATTGCACATTTACAAATCATCTGTCATCTATGAGTTATTTTCTAAACATCTAAAGAGCTGAAAGTGGAGATTTAACTCTCATGTTTTCTCTCAAATCTCCCACATTCTTCCCCTCCACCTCTTCCAAACCATTATTTAACTAAAAATTTTACAGAGTGGTGGCTTGTAGTTCTAAAACTGACACTTCCTTTGCTGAATGTGATGGTTAATTTTATGCATTAACTTGATTGGGTCAGAGAATGACCAGGTATTTAGTCAAACATTTTTTCTGGGTGTGTCTGAAAGGGTAATTTTGAATGAGATTAATATTCAAATCAGTAGAATGATAATATGGTGTTCTTTATCCAATTGCTTGATGGTCTGTTTAGAACAAAATGGTTGAACCTCCCATGAGTGAGCAGGAATTTCTGCCTGAATATTTTGTAGCTGGGACATTGGTCTCAAACTCAAGCTTTGGGTCTTCTTGGATCTCAAGCATACTGACTTGAAATGGAAATTACAACATTGGCTCTCTTGATTTTCAGAATTGTGAGAAGCAAATTTCTGGTGCCTACAACCTACCTACTTTATGATATTTTGTTACAGGAGCCCAAATATATTAGGACAATAGTTATGGACATAGGTATATAAGTATCTTTTGAGACCCTGGTTTCAATCCTCATAGATATATACCCAATTGTGGAACTGCTGGATCATATGGTAGGTCTATTTTTAATTTTTTGAGAAATCACTATAGTTTTTCCACAGTGCCTATGCCATATTATATTCCACCAACACTGCACATGGATTTGAATTTCTTCACATCTTTCTCAACAAAATTTATTTTTATTTTCTATTTTTTATTTAATAGTAGTCATCCTAATGGGTGTGAGGGATCTTTTCTCTTTTGTGGAAATTAATATATTGTCTACCAGAAATAATTTTGATAATCTGTATCATCATAAGAAGTTATCTGCTATGTTTTCAGTTTTTAATATATATCTACAAAGTTACTTTATAATACTATATCATATAGATATGTGTATCATATATATGTTAATTTCTATATGTTACTCATATATACAAAATATATTTTATATGCATTTATATATTTTATAAAATATATAATACATATGATTCCTATATATTAACATAGATTTTCCTTATATAGCAATAATTATATCTCCCATGTTATTTTGTTTCCTTTTATTTTTGGTCAATTAGCTAGTGTTTATTCTATTTTGTTGACTTTTTTCAAGAATCAAGATTTTTATTTGAAAGATGGTTTTCTGTTCACTACCTCATTAATGTCTGTTTTTATCTCCATTATTTTCTTCATTGTGCTTAGTTTGGCTTTCTTTTTAAAAACTTTTTGAATAGGGAATTTATTTAAATTCATCTAATTATTGATGCATATGGAGCAAAAATTGGCAAACTTTTTGTAAAGGGCCTATAAATAATATATATTTTGTTTTGTGGATCATATAGTCTCTCACAACTACTCAATTGCAGTTGTTGTGCAAAAACAGTAACAGAATATGCTTAAATGAGTAAGCGTAACTCTTCGTAGGCCATACGAAACAGACAGTGAGTTAGATTTGGCCACTACTGTGAACAGTAGTTTTCTGACGCCTGATACAGATGTTTAAGGCTCTGAATTTTCCAATTTTTGCTTTAAAATTATCCCACAGATTGTAATAGATAGCATTTTTAAAATTACTCTTTTTCCAGAAAATTTTGTGATTTCTGTTTATGTTTCCTCTTCTACTCAAGAGTTACTCAGTAGACTGTGTGTGTGTGTGTGTGTGTGTGTGTGTGTGTGTGTGTGAAAAAGCCATGTTTATTTTAATTTCAAGGCTTTTACATTGTGATTAGAGTGTGTTGTCATTGTTTCAACTTAGGAAAGTTGCAGACTTCTTTTTTGTGATCTACCATACGATTTCTTTTTGTTACTAGTCCATGTGTTCTTGAGAAGAAACTATATTCTCCATATCACTATGTAGTGTCATGTTTGATATAATACCTCCATAAGACCTATATTGTTGATTACCTAATTTACATTTTCTCTAGTCCTTTTTTTAACCTGTCTTATATTGAGAGTAATATATTAAAATCAAATATATATAGTGTTTCTATTTTATATCTCCTGTCATTTGTTTTAAGTGGTTATACTATTATTTAGTGCTTAGATATTCTTAACTTTCATATCTTCATTGTAAATTCTGGCTTTTCATACTTTAAAGTGCCCTTTCTTCTCATTTAATACTTTTGGCCCTGAATTTTACTTTAATGCCAGAAACATAATTCCTCCTTCCTTATTTTTCCCATTTGCCTGATATATCTTTTCTGATACCTTTATCTCTAGCACTTTTGAATTATTATGTTTCATGTGTGTCTCTGGTGCACAGCAGAGACTTGGGTTGCTTTATGAGCCAATTCAAAAAGAGCTTGCTTTCAGTAGATGAATAAAACATATTCATATTCAACGTTATGATAATTATGTTGATTTCTGTCATATTAGGTTATAATTATTGTGCCTATATTTACTATATGTCTTTCTATATTTACCGAATTTTCTTTCCTTTATTTGAAAATATATTTACGTATTTAGAAAAACTTGTATTTTATATCATCTGTTACCTGTTCACATACACCTTTAAAGTGCCTTTAATAACTTTCTTTCTTAATGTTTTACTCTTCATTTTGTGAAATGTACATGGTATTCCTTGCCTCCCACCTATCACCGTTAAAGTCAATGCTCTTATTCTACTTTCTCCTTTCTCTTTCTTTTATCCTCCCATTTATTAATTGTGTTCTTTCTACTTTGTCAGTATATTTAATGCCAACACACTGTTCTTTCATTCATTTATCTCCTTAGAATTAGTGTTAGTTCTACAATTAAACACATTAAATGCTCATCTTTGGTCCTTTTATATAAGATTCCCCAGGCATCTTTTGTTTTGATGAAGTTTATCTTGTAATAGACTACTCATGAAGAGCTCATGGACATAGTACACCTTGAGCTTCATTTAATTCAAAGCTATTTATTTTATAGGCTTGTTATTTGAAGCATGGCTTGGCTGCATATAAAATATTGTGCTCACACTTTCTCTAAGTTTTTAAAAAATGTACTTTTTTATTATAAATGTGGCCTTTCTTTTTATGTTGCTTAAGAAAAGTCTGGCACCAGCCTACTTTTTTAATCCATATTATTTCATGTTTTATGCGCAAATGCTGATGATTTTGTTTTTGTCTCAAAAAGCCAAATCATTTTACTAGGATATCTCAGAATTATTGTTCTGGGTCCATTTTCCCAGGTATATTATAGGCTGTCAGTTTTTAAATTAAAGTTTTCTTTCAAAAGTTTTGTTAGACTACAGTTTTAAATATTATTTCTGTTTGATTGTGTTACTTTCCTTGTTCTGGGACTCTAATTATATGGGTGTTAGGCCTTCTTTGTCTTTTATATCATCTACTATCTCTCTAAACATGTTTACTTTTTTATTTCATTGTATTTTTATGATTGCTTTTCTTTCTCTCTTTCCTCGATACTGCTTATGAAATTTCCATTTAAATCTATTACCCCTTGAACATTTGGTAATTTATTCTTCTTTTCTAATATGGTATATATTTTTTATTTTTTTATTTTTATTTTTTGAATTCACTAAACACTTGTTGCTTTCTTTCTGTGGGAATTTTGTTGATGGTGCTTTTTGGGGTGGCCATTTGTATTCTTAGCTTTTGTATTTTGTATTGTTGTATTTTCTAAAAATACCTTCATATTGCTGTTTGAGGATTTTAAGCTAAGATTTAAATGTTGTGTTATAGATTTATTCTGCTTTGTGGCTTGCTTTATTTTTGAGGATAAATTTTCTCAACTGAAATCTTGATTCACACCTTCTGTTTGCTTCCTTCAATACCATATATAAAATGTGTTTGATTTCTTTCTATTTGTGAGCACCTAATGGACAAGATTCTTTGTTTGAAAGCTACCTCTTAGTTTATGGAAATGTAGTTTTGTTAATGATTCTTTTGTTTATTTTGGTGATGGTGTATTTTTTCTCCTTTTGTTTCTACAAGATTGTTAATTCCCTCCCCCTTGTAGTTTTGTTTACCTCAACTATCATATTTTCCCAAGAGGCATTACCCTTCTCTATTTACCTCTCTTCCCCAGAAGTAGTTCTTCTCTCAGGCAGTCAGTCCAGTTCTCACTTTCAAGTACCTTTCCTGTAGTAATGTGAATTACCAAGTATCAGGCCAATACTTTTTCATTAGCTGCTCAATCCTCTTTTCCCCTTTAGGGATACTTTTTCCTTAAAACACGTATTTACTCTGTTCCTCTTTCCATGGACTTTCTTAAACCTCCCCTCTCCTATCATTCATACCTGCAGGTACACAACAGCCATGGAAACTGTCAGAAATTGGGTGTTTATTTATTTACACTTAATCTGAATCTTAGTATTCCCTGTCCTTTAATAATGCTGAATACTTGGGTCATATGTGATTTTATTTGCCCTCCTTGTTGCTCTGATGTTTTTTGAGATAGTATGTAAAGATATTCAGATTCAGGCAGTTATCCCTACCCTCCATAAATAGAGTTTTAAATAAGGATTTAGAAATTGAGGCTACATTTGGAAATACATGACATGAGCTCCATATCCACAGTTGCATAGTGAGACATGTTCCTTAGTCTTCTGAAAATGGTCATTAAGGCTAGGCATGGTGGCACACACCTGTAGTCCCAGCTACTTGGGAGGCTGAGGTGGAAGAATTCTATGAGCCCAGGAGTTCAAGGATGCAGTGAGCTATGATTGCACCATTGAACTCTAGCCTGGGTGAGAGAGTGAGATCTTGTCTTTCATAAATAAATACATAATCAATTTCTCTGTAACAAAACTATAGTTTAATCTCTTAGAGAAACCACCTTCTCTGAATAAGTTGTTTCTAGAAATGTTTTTCATAAGTAATTAGTAGTCATAAATTAAAGCGAATATCTCCAGACTCAACCTTGTGACTTGTTCTGTAATCTGGTCAGTTTATGGCTTAATTGAGTAGCTTTATAACTCTTTCTCTCCCCATTGGTGTAAAAATTTTACCTATTCCAAATTTAAGGAAATTATGTGTGTGTGTGGAGGGGGATGGGGTGGGAAGAAAGATTGGGTACCTAAGCAGAATTATTAGGGTATTTCTATTATGTAAAGGGAATTAATAAATTACCACCATTAGTGAATAAACCAGAAGGTTATTTGATGTAAAAGCATCAGAAAGCTTTGCTTAAATGGACTGTCTGCATCACTGGAGTGCTACCCTTTCAGCCTACCAACTGTCTATGGAGCAAAACCAAGCAGCCTACCCTGGCTCTAACTGACCCACTCCATAGGACAGTTCATCCAGTGGGGAGTTGTCAGTTTGTGACTATGTGAGTGCTCACCAAAATTGTTCTTTCATTACTGCGTGCCATGGAATTATTTTTCTAAAGAAAACATACTCATGTGTTTATTATACTTATTTATTTATTCTAAAATATCTGTTGAGGCCAGGTGGGCAGTGGCTCACA